GAGCTCATTGAGTTGTTCAACATGAAGATTTTCCGCAACATCCCATTCCAAATTCAACTTCCTCAAAGCCCACATGGCCTTGTGCTCTAACTCAACCGGAAAATGACAAGCTTTTCCAAACACCAACCGATATGGAGACATACTAATCGAAGTTTTCTAAGCTGTCCGATAAGCCCATAGAGTGTCATCCAACTTTTTTGACCAATCGGTCCTATTAGCATTGACAATTTTTGACAAGATGCTCTTAATTTATCTGTTGGAGACCTCCACTTGACCACTAGCTTGAGGATGATAGGGGGTAGAAACCTTATAATGACACCGTACTTGGAAAGCAACGTGTTGAAAGCCTTGTTGCAAAAGTGAGACCCCCATCACTATTAATTGCACGAGGAGTGCCAAACCTTGTGAAGATGCTCTTTTTAAGAAACACAACAACACTCCGGGCTTCATTATTAGGCAAAGCCACGGCTTCAACCCATTTTGAAACATAATCAACCGCCACGAGAATGTAAGTATTCCCACAAGAGCTAATAAATGGACCCATGAAATCGATGCCCCAAACATCAAAGATATCCACTTCAAGAATCGTATTGAGAGGCATGTCATCCCTTTTTGAAATTCCACCCGCTCTTTGGCACTCATCACATCTCTTCACCAAATCGCCCGCATCTTTGAATAAGGTGGGCCAATAGAATCCACAACTAAGAACTTTTGAGGCGGTCCTCACCCCACCATGATGGCCACCATAGGATGAAGAATGGCAAGCCTCTAAGATACTCAATTGTTCTTCCTCCGGGACACATCTACGAATCACACCATCCGTGCAAATCTTGAACAAGTATGGCTCATCCCAATAGAAATCCAAACTATCCCGCTTGAGCTTCTTCCTTTGGTTAGAAGAGAGCTCATAAGGGATTATTCCAGTCACAAGGTAATTGGCAACATCGGCAAACCATGACATATCCTTCATTGACACCGCAAGGAGTTGTTCATCGGGAAATGAATCATTGATCTTAAGATCGTCACAAGGCCTCCCCTCCTCTTCCAAATGGGACAAGTTGTCCGCCACTTGATTCTCACTACCCTTCTGGTCAACAATTATTAGATCAAACTCTTGAAGAAGTAACACCCATCTCATCAATCTCACCTTGGAGTCTTTCTTGGTCATCAAATACCTAAGGTCGGCATGGTCGGTGTGCACTATAACTTTGGCCCCCATAAGGTAAGGTCGAAACTTTTCCATAGCAAACACAATAGCCAACAACTCTTTCTCGGTGACTGTATAGTTCCTTTGAGCATTATTCATGGTCTTGCTTGCGTAGTACACTGGATGAAATATCTTGTTGATTCTTTGGCCCAAAACAGCCCCAACCACAACATCACTAGAATCACACATGAGCTCGAAGGGCAAGCTCCAATTTGGTGCGTTAATGATGGGGGTAGAAGTCAACTTGAGCTTGAGAAGCTCGAATGCTTGCATACAACTATCGTCGAATAAGAACTTTGCATCTTTCTCTAGCAACTTTCACAAAGGGTGTACCACTTTAGAAAAATCCGTTATGAACCTCCGGTAAAAATCCGCGTGCCCAAGAAAACTCCTCACCCCTTTGACAGAAATAGGGGAGGAAGCCTTCAAATCACCTCTATCTTGGCTTTGTCAACCTCAATTCCTCACTTCGAGATTTTGTGACCCAACACTATACCCTCTTCAACCATGAAATGGCATTTTTCTCAATTGAGTACGAGGTTTGTGTCTTCACACCGGGCCAATACTCTATCCAAATTTTTCAGACACTCCTCAAATGAATCCCCAACCACACTAAAATCATCCATGAAAACCTCCAAGATATCCTCCACCATGTCGGTGAAAATAGCCATCATGCAACATTGGAATAAGTTCATTGTTGTCATTGGCCACCACAGTCATACCACCCTTCTTCGGCACACATTGCATCGGAGAAGTCCAAGAACTGTCAGAAATAGGATAAACCATACTGGCGTCCAACTACTTGATAACCTCTTTCTTCACCACTTCTTGCATTGCTTCATTTAATATTCTTTGATGCTCCAAGGAAGGCTTTGCATCCTCCTCCAAGATGATTTTGTGCATGCACAATGCGGGGCTTATTCCCCGAATGTCAGCTAGAGTCCATCCAATTGCCCTTTTTTGCTTTTGAAGCACCGCCAAAGTGGTCTCAACCTGTATGTTAGTAAGGCAAGAAGAAAGAATAACTGGTAAAGTAGAATTTGAACCCAAGAATTCATACCTGAGGTGTGGAGGAAGTGGCTTCAACTCCAACACCGGTGGCTCCTCAATGGATGGCTTTGTTGGTGGAGTTTTCCGGTTTTTAAGATCAAAAGATAGCTTCCTCGACTCATAAGAATAAGAGCCCATCCCATGTAGAGCATTGACACTTTCCACTCTACTAGCATCATCATTAACATCCATGTTCAAGAGCACTGCTTCAAGCGGATCTTCCACGTTGATTATAGCACTGGTATCATCTACAATCACTGCTGCGACAAGGTCTACAAATGAGCACACCTCGGTGCTATTGGGCTGCTTCATAGATTTGCAAACATGCAAAACGACCTTTTCATCTCCCACTCAGAAAGTGAGCTCACCCGCTTCAACATCACCCAATGCCTTCCTCGTCGCAAGGAAAGGTCTGCCAAAGATAATAGGAACCTCATAGTCCACCTCACAATCACAAAGTCGGCCATTAATATGAATTTGTCCACCCGGACAAGCACATCATCAATAATGCCCAAAGGTCGCTTCATCAATCGATCCACCATTTGAAGTCTCATTGAAGTTGGCCTAGGTTTCCTAATACCCAAAGTTTTGAAAACTGAGTAGGGCATCAAATTGATACTAGCTCCTAAGTCACAAAGAGCTTTAGCAAAATCCGCACTCCCAATGGTGCAAGGAATGGTGAAAGCACCGGGATCTTCAAGCTTCGGGGCATTGAATGCACTATAGCACTAACCTGGTAAGTCATCTTTATAGTTTCACAGTCCATAGAACACTTCTTTGTAACCAAATCTTTCATGAATTTTGCATATCCCGACATTTGTTCAAGTGCCTCCACCAGAGGCACATTATTAGATAAGCTCTTCATCATGTCAATGAACTTTTTAAACTGATTATCAATCTTCTGCTTTGCGAGCCTTTGAGGATAAGGTGGAGGTGTCCTTGGCAGAGGAACCTTGGCTTTTGGCACCACCGGCTCGGGCATGTCAATCACGTGTTCCCTAGACGGGCTCACGGCAACATGGGTTTCTACCTTGGCCTCACCAATATCAATCCCTACATCATTCTTCACATTCTCTTCAACCAGATCTTCAACAATCAAAGGTACATCAACATCCCGCAACTCAACATCTTCATCCATAACTTGCTTTTGCTTTGAGGCATTTACATCACCGCCTCTCCCACTTCTTGTTGTAACCGCAATCATATGATTGTTATTTCCACCCTTCGAGTTCACCACCGTATCACTTGGTAGAGCACCCTTTGGGCGAGTATTCAATGACTAAGAGATTTGGCCTAATTGCACCTCCAAGTTTCGGATAGAGGTGTTGTGAGAGGCTAACTGTGCATCGAAATCCGCATTCCTCTTCATCATCTGCTCGAACATCATTTCAATTCCACCCATATCATTACTAGAAGAGCTAGGACCCTGAGAAGATAAAGGGGGTGGATTGTTTGGTTGTTGGTACATTGGGGGCCTTTGAAAGCCTTGCCCCATGTTGCCTTGGTTTCCATTATTGTTCCACCCGCCTTGATTGTTGTTGTTGCCCCAGTTGTTGTTATTTCCATTCTAGTTGCCTTGGTTGTTGTTCTGATTACCCCAATTGTTGTTTTGGTTGTTGTTCCAATTGCTACCACTTTGTTGTTGATTGCCCCAATTTCCTTGAGGTCGCCATTGTTGGTTTGAAGAGTTGCCCCTATTGCCTTGATAGTTGTTGACATATTGTACCTCTTCACTTTGGTCATCATAACCATCATTTTAACACCCATCATATTCATAAACAAATTTCTCAGAATTTCCTTGATTTTGTTTCCTCCTTTGCCTTCTCTTGTTGACAAGCATACTAACACCCTCCATGGCATTCACTTGGCGAGGATTCTGAACTTGTTGCAACTGTGCCTTAGCCAATTGATTCATCATAGTGGTAAGCTCAGCTATCGCTTGGCCGTGATCATGTAAGATCTTTGACATCTCTCTGAATACCTCTTCCGTGGACCACACAAAAAGGCAGTGCAGCCACAGAACTTTCACCGCGGGTCATGCAGTGTGGACTGTGGCCGCGTTGCTTGTAGCCTGATCTTGTAATCTCTCTGAATCACCTAGTTCAACTGCATTCCATTTTGTGCGGTCCGCACTAGGCTTGTTTGCCCTCAGTTTACTTTGTTAGGTTTCACTCCGTTTGAGCTGATCTTTGACATCTCTCTGAATACCTCTTCCGTGGACCGCACAAAAAGGCAGTGCAACCACAGAACTTTCACCGCGGGTCGCGCAGTGTGGACTATGGCCGCGTTGCTTGTAGCCTGATCTTGTCATCTCTCTGAATCACCTAGTTCAACTGCATTCCATTTTGTCCGGTCCGCACTAGGCTTGTTTGCCCTCAGTTTACTTTGTCTTTGATACTTAAGTAGGTTTCACTCCGTTTGAGCCGATCTTTGACATTTCGTCACTTTGTCGATCAAACCTGCAATCAAGAACAACTTATGAGCCTTTTGGGACTATTTTATAACGATTTATAATCAAAGCATAAGCAAGAAGGAGCATAAAACTCGTTAAAATCTCTACTTATCAGGTAGCAGGTGTTATCTTATTTTTCCTGCTTGGTTGCTTATACAACAAGTTTACTTCTAGCAATTATGGTTGTAAAATACTATTGTCATTTAACATGGTGAAGAATTTTTCCATTTCTCATCTTATAAACTAGAAGTACCAAATAATATACTTTTATGCATAATTTGAGCGATGCAGAGTAATGTAGTAGTGTTTCTTGGTGGCTTCCATGGAATAGGAGGGGATCAGATCTCTATTATGAAGGCTATCTCAGGCTCAACAAAATGCATTGAAGTGGACCTACATGGTTTAGAGGAACCAAGGTTGTCAATTATGGCCTTTGTAAATATATTGCAGCAGTTGTTTGACAGTCTACAATGTCAAAAAGTTATTCTTGTTGGATATTCTATGGGAGCAAGGATTTCACTCTACATGGCTCTAAAATACAATGACAAGGTATACTATAGAAATTATATTCTATGGTATGTTGCAGAATTTTTTTTCAGTTAATACAATTGTGCAATTTGCTTGATGGAAGGTTGCTGGAGCTGTTATAATATCTGGAAGTCCGGGATTGATAGATGAAGATGCAAGAAAAGTCCGTAGGGCCAAGGATGATTTTTCAGCCTGCTTATTCTGGAGATCTATGGAATAGGTATTTGATGAGATTCTCTTCATAGGAGTTTGCATCTTCTCTTGCTCACCGCTACATGAGATGTTTTTGCAATACCAATTGATAACATGTTATATATGTTTACATCCTGTAGTTTAAGAACTCATCCACATTTCACTAAAACACTTGCAAGCCGATTGTAGCATTGTGATTTAAAGAATCTCAGGAGAGTATTATCAGATTTGAGTGTTGGGAGACAGCCGTAAGTTAATGAGAAATCTTTGGTCTTTTCAATTTGCTATGTAGATTTGCTTATTTTTCCTTTTAACTAATGATGAACCCATGATTCTATAATCCACTGCTTTTCACCGAGTTTCTACATGACTGCCTACTAGCAAGAGGGAGAAGAAGTAGGTGAATTACTGAAGTTTGTTGTGAAAGGATAGGAGTTGTGTTATGTTTTGGGGCAGTTGGGTCTGGTGGGAAAGAAAAAAAAGGAAAAGAAAATGCAAATAAGAAAAAATAATGAAAGAATAGTCATGTTCTATTATAGGGAATATGAGGTTTAGCGAAGTGTTAAAAAATGCTCTTTTCTCTCTCCTCTCTCTCTAGGGAGACATGGTGTAGAAGAGGCTGCCATGGATGTGCAGCCCTCTCCCCAGCTTCAAGCTCTTGGATAGACGATTAAAAACATCAATTCAATATCAACATATGCAGCGCTACTGGAAAACAAACAAACTGGACAAGTTCCGATAAAAATTGAGCTAAAATAGGTGGAGCTCGTTCATGGTGAAGCTACGATCAAATGTACAATGGAGGAAGTACATCAATATGCTAAGGAGGAAGGGTTACATCAAGGTGTGGTAATTAAATTCTCACAAGATCAATATGATATGTAAGAAATTCAAAAACTGTTGCCTAAACAATTCGGAACTCAAGGTCGCTGCCTCGTCGGTTGGCTTGCAAAAAGACATGTGTGCAAGGTGAAATTGGAGGATCCAATTTTCTCGTCATTATGATGCCTCGCGAACATACTTTCCCAAGGCTCGAGACTAGGGTCGAGGTTCACCTTCGAGGGCTGTCGATGCTCGACCTCGGGGAAATGCAAGCCAATGGCTATATTGGAAAATAGGGGAGTTCCCAAAGTCTGTCAGGCTATTCTGAGCCCGCACCATGAAATCGACTAGCTATCCCATCTCCATATCTTTGTAATAAATGCATTTGTACTATGATATGATCCCTCATTTTTCTATATAAAGGGGGTCCTTACCACATTGTAAGGATTGATTTCTCCACACTAAATAAACAAGAACATTCTCTCTGCTCTCTAACATACTCTCTTGAGATTATTACTTCCATTTACTATCTTCGTTATTGTTCATCATTTATTTCTTGTCATTGGCTATAAAGAGCCTTCACTGATTTTATTGTAACTATTAGTCATACTTCGACCACCTTCGATAGCTCCTATCCGAGCTTCGGAATCAACCTCGAGGCCCCCGAATCGACAAGCTCGAGGCCCCGATAATTAACCTATCGGTTTGGCTATCACCTTATCCTTAACTCTCATTTCGTTTCTAAGTCTCACACACATAGCATCAACTGCTTAACAACTAGTGTAAAAATAGATCATGTATTTTTAGAGTCCCATAATTAAATTTAGTTGTTATTACCATTTTTACGGTAAACAATTTGGTGTCCACCATGGGGCTAAAAGTAATAGTGATTATTTTTTGCTGGTTTCATCACATAATGCAAGTTATCTTTCACACCTGTTTTTGTCCAATATCTTCAAATTTTAGGTCGAAATGCCTAACTCAGTAAAAAGAGATGAAAAAACTACCTCAAGAACCGAGGAGAGAATGGTGTGGTTGTTCCAGGTGTTGGTATACCACCATGGAACCCTGTGAATGCACTGAAGCCAACCTCCAAGGGTATGATCTCATGCGATGCCCAATGCGTTGGCATCGCTCCTCACATTCACCAGAAAGCGCACCGAAAAGTTTCGCGGGAAACCTGGCAAAATCCAACCTGGGCTCCAAAAGAGATTCCTCGGCATGTCGTTCATATAATTATTGGAGGGACCGACATTCCCCAAGGGCCCATGATCAAGCAAACAAAAATATCCGCCGCAATAGAAGGGCCAATCTGAGGCCGCGTGGCCGAAGACACCCTTACATTCAGCGAAGAGGATCTCGAGACCTTGACAGAACCACATAATGACGTGCTGGTAATCTCATTTCTTTTAAACAACATTCAGGTTAAACGTGCGCTCGTAGATCTAGGCAACTCGGCCAATGTAATCAGGTCAGGTGTAGTAGAACAACTTGGCTTGCTCAATCAGATCATACCCGCCTTCCGAGTCCTCCACGGCCTTAACATGACCGGCGAAGTAACAAAATGAGAAATCACCCTTCCAGTCGACACATTCGGCACGGTTCAGAACACCAAGTTTCAAGTCATCAATGGCGACATAAGGTATAACGCATTGCTTGGCATGCCGTGGATACATAGCATAAGGGCAGTACCATCAACTCTGCACCAGATGATTAAATTTCCTACAAAGGATGGCATAAAAACCATATATGGGGAACAACATGCGGCGAAAGAAATGTTTGCAGTTTATCAGGAGGAGCCGACCCCCGTACTCTCGACCTTGGATGTGTCTAGGAGCATATAGACCCCCTAGGACGACGAAGAAGATTTCCTCACTTCTTGAACTTTCATTGCCCCCGAAGAGTCGGATGCAACGAAATCGACAATTAAAGATATAGAGAAAGTTGTTTNTTCTTATTGATAATATCGACTATTTTGCTTGGCCCCACTTAGATATAACAGATATCCCGCCGGAAATAACCTCTTATCGACTGAGTGTTGACCCCAGGTTTAAACCGGTGAAGCAAAAAAGAAGACCCCAGTCCGAGATAAAACACGCATTTATCAAGGATGAGGTAACAAAATTTCTTAATATAGGGTCCATTAGAGAGGAAAAGTACCCTGAATGGCTGGCCAACATAATAGTGGTACCCAAAAAGGGAAATAAGCTAAGAATGTGCGTAGATTATAAAGACTTAAATAAGGAGTGTCCGAAGGATTTGTTCCCATTGCCTAACATAGATCGTCTGATCGATGCTACGGTCGGCCACGAGACCTTCACCTTTCTCGATGCCTACTCAGGGTACAATCAAATTCAGATGAACCCCGAAGACAGGGAGAAAACTTCATTCATAACAAAGTATGGTACTTACTATTACAGTGTAATGCCCTTCGGACTAAAAAATGCAGGGGCTACATACCAACGTCTAGTTAATAAAATGTTTGAGAATCAAGTAGGTAAATCCATGGAACTTTAAATTGACGATATGCTAGTTAAGTCCCTGCGCGTAGAGGACCATTTAACTCATTTGCAAGAAACATTCGACATCCTCAGAAGTTACAACATGAAGCTCAACCCCGAGAAATGTGCCTTCGGAGTAGGTTTGGGAAAATTCTTAGGTTTCATGGTATCAAACAGGGGGATCGAGATTAACCCCGAAAAAATCAAGGCCATCAAAGAAATCACGGTGGTAAACAATGTAAAGGCCGTGCAATGGCTAACAGGACGAATAGCGGCTCTGGGCAGATTCATATCAAAGTTATCCGACAGGAGCCACCATTTATTCTCTTTACTCAAAAGGAAAAACAACTTCGAATGGACTCCATAATGCCAACACGCATTAGAAGAGCTAAAGCGATATCTGACTAGCCCACCTTAGCTCCACACGCCAAAGGAGGATGAAACACTATATCTATACTTGGTCGTATCCGAGATAGCGGTAACCGGCGTGCTAGTTCGAGAAGAGCAAGGTACGTAATTCCCTATTTATTATGTAAGCCGGACCCTAGGGGATGCCGAAACTAGGTACCCACACCTTGAAAAATTAGCTCTTGCGTTAATAAGCGCATCGCGAAAATTGAAACCCTATTTTCAATGCCACCATATTTTCGTTCTAATGACATACCCCATCTGGAGCATATTGCACAAACCCGAACTATCGGGTCGATTGGACAAATGGGCCATCTAACTCAAGGGGTATGATATCGAGTATCAACCTCGAACGGTCATCATGTCCCAGATTCTGGCGGACTTTGTGGCTGATTTCTCGCCCTCCCTCGTTCCTAAGATAGAAAATGAGCTTTTACTGAAATCAGGCACGTCTTCCCGGGGTATGGACCCTGTTCACTGACGGTGCCACAAACGTGAGAGATTTCGGACTCGGTATAGTCCTAAAACCACCTACGGGCGGCGTGATCAGACAATCTATAAAAACTGCAAAATTGATTAACAATGAAACCAAGTACGAGGCTATAATTGCAGGTTTAGAACTGGCCAAAAGCCTGGGAGCCGAGACCATCGAAGCAAAATGCGATTCACTCCTGGTAGTGAACCAGGTGAATGGGAGCTACGAGGTCCGAGAAGATAGGATGCAGAGGTATTTGGACAAAATCCAAGTCGCATTACGTCGCTTCAAAGAATGGACTTTAGTCTGTGTACCTCGAGAGCATAATAGCGAGGTCGATGCCCTCGCCAACCTGGGATCATCTGTTGAAGAAGATGACCTACACCCCGGAGCTGTTATTCAGCTATCTAAATCAGTGATCGAGGAAGGTCATGCGGAGATTAATTCCACCAACCTAACATGGGACTGGAGAAATAAATATATTGATTATCTGAAAGATGAAAAATTGCCCGCAAATCCAAAGGAATCGAGGGCCCTGTGAACCAAAGCATCCCGGTTCTCGCTCGATAAAAATGAGACTCTGTACTAAAGAACTTTTGATGGCCCCCTAGCAGTATGTCTGGGGCCAGGGGATACAAATTATGTACTCTGGGAAATTCACGTGGATACTTGCGGAAATCACTCCGGTGCTGATTCCTTGGTCCGAAAGATAATCAGGGCAGGCTACTACTGGGACAACATGGAAAAAGATACTAAGGAATTCATCCGAAAATGTGATAAATGCTAGAGATTTTCCCCTATGATTCACCAACCTGGCGAACAACTACATTCGGTCTTATCACCATGGCCATTCATGAAATGGGGGATGGACATCGTCGGGCCCCTGCCGACGGCACCAGGTAAAGCTAAATTCATTTTATTTATGACAGACTATTTCTCAAAATGGGTGGAAGCACAGGCCTTCGAGAAGGTAAGAGAGAAAGAAGTCATTAACTTCATATGGGACCACATTATGTGCCGATTTGGGATTCCTTCCGAGATAACATGTGATAATGGGAGGCAGTTCATCGGGAGCAAGGTAACACAATCTCTTGAGGATCACAAAATCAAGAGAATCCTATCGACGCCTTACCACCCATATGCAAATGGACAGGCCGAGTCCACAAATAAAACCATCATCTAAAACATAAAAAAAAAAAGCTGGAAAGCGCCAAGGGAAAGTGGAGAGAAATGTTGGCCGAAGTGTTGTGGGCATACCGAACAAATTTAAAATCAAGCATAGGGGAAACACATTTCTCTCTAGTATATGACGCCGAGGCTTTGATACCAGTGGAGGTTAGGGAGCCGAGTGCCATATTCCAACACACCGCTGAGAGCTCGAACAACAAGGCCATGACAATGGCCCTCAAACTACTAGATGAAAAACGGGAAGTCGTGTTGGTCCGGATGGCCACCCAAAAGCAAAGGATCGAAAGATATTACAACAGGAGAACAAACCTCCAAAATTTCGGAGTTGGGGACTTGGTTCTAAGGAAAGTCACCCTTAACACCCGAAACCCTAATGAAGGAAAGCTAGGCCAAAATTGGGAATGACCGTACCGCATCCTCGGAGTAGTCGGCAAAGGGTCTTACAAGCTCGGTACCATGGAGGGCGAACAACTTCCAAGCAACTGGAACGTATCAATGCTAAAACAATATTATTGCTAGGGCATCCAATTAAAAATTCCGAAAACACCCCCGAGCGCGCGTTGCACTCTTTTCCTTCGATCGGATTTTGTCCCTAAAAGGGTTTTACCGGCAAGGTTTTTAACTAGGCAATGGCCATACGGTACCTAAAGAGACTCAACAAGTATTCAAGATTTCTTTTGCAATCCACCTCGAATACTAGGGGGCATCCCCCCGGAAGGTTACCTACTCGGGAAAGCCAAGATACCCCAAATGGGACTTCGATAGGAAAAGTAATATACCGGGCCAAACGATCGAACGAACCGTGCCCGTTCAGAGAAACTGAGCTTTTAACGGCAAAAATGTGCGTACTTGTACCAAGTCATTGAAGAACACTTTTCATCAAAGAATTTCACGCTTCAAAAGAAACTCGACGTTTTAGCGAAAAAGACTCCTCTGTCAAAAATGTCCCGAACACTTAGAGACTGGCGTCAATAATTCGACACCTGAATGACCCCCGGGTCAAAACTCCAAACTCATAAGCCCTCAATGAGGCAACATCAAAATCATAAAACGTCTCCAAAACCAAAGGTGTCCCGAACAGTCAGAGACTGATGCCAAAATCTC